TCGGCTTAAAAATAAATCTACAGCAATTGTTTGAGTTTTGGGAAAACAATGCAAAAAAAAAAAAAAATCTCATGCAGACTCACAGAATATTTTTTTTCAAGCAGCATGAAATGAAAATAGTCGATTTTATATTTTCTTATATATATATATATATGTATATATATTAGATATATGTTATTGATCGCATTGCAAAAATATATATATTTTTTTTTACTTTGTCATTTTTAATTAAAATGTAATAACTTGAGCTTACGGTGATTATTATTGTTATTCATTGTATTTTAGAGTGAAATGGTATTTTTATAATAATAATGTTTCCTATTTTGTTTATAATTCATTCATTCAATAATAAGAAATATCATTGTATCATTGAAATATCAACAGTGTAATGGCAGTATATTTATCATATGGTAGAACTATTAGTTATTGATTTGGCTAAACTGATTCAGTGCTGCAGTGCATCTCTCACTAAACCAATTCAGAGGCTAAATCGGCCCCTGTGCGTTTCTGCTCAGCGATCAGAGAAGATGCATGCATGCAAAAACAGTATCATCCGCCGTTCTGTTCGACTCGTCACCTGCACTGCTTTTAACGGGATTGGAATCAATAGCTAATCCGTTGCAACCCGAGCAAATCTGCTTATGGATCCTGCTGTTTGTGTGGAACGATCGAGGACAGTGTTTGAAGTCAAGGGCGTCTGAGTTTGACCGTCCCGGCAGCTGCGCATTCCCGTTAGGAAGGAAGGGTGTGTTTTCAAATTTGATTTATTAATGATAAATATAACAAATTATTATCATCATCATCATCTTTTGGCCAAATTGTGAAGCCCTACAAAAAAGTACAGCAAAACTAAAGCTATTTTTAATATCATTTTTAATTGCAGTCACAATTTATATCCAAAAAATTGCAATTAGATTTTCTCCCAAATTTCTGCAGCCCTAGTGTCAGTATTTTGGCCATAGTGTCAATATATTTTGGATTCAGTTTTGTTCAGCATTTATTAAAAGCATTTATTCTTCTGCAGAAATGTTACTGAAAGTCAGTAGATTGTCATTGCTAAGCTCTGTGGCAGATTGGTCTCTCACTGTCTGGCATTTTGAAAGGTGGGATTTACATGTCTATAAAAAACTGAGAGAGAGCGGACCGTTCCTGACTTGGTCTAGAGTGCATATTTAATGTTGGCTCTGGAATTACACCGCACACATGTAGCTCTACATTACGTCTGGTCTCTGAGAAAGCTAGCTGTAAAACAACACACGAGCCCTTTGACACAGATTCTCTCTGCAGCGTCTCTGGAGGAGTCAAACACTTCCAGCAGAGTCATGATGAGAGTCATGATAAAACAACAGAAGAGTCCATCCACTGTAAATACATCATTCAGCAATATCAGGCGAATTTAGGCCATTTCTGGCTGACCTTCATAGAGAACATTTCGATTTCAAATAATTTTGAGTAAATAGTTAATAGTTGAGTTAACTGTTTAACAATCAGTTTCTCATATACTACGATTAAATAAAAGGTTGAGGTCTGTACAATTTTTTTTGAATGTTTTTGAAAAAAAAAAAAGACTTTTATGATGACCATGGCTGTATTTATTTGATAAAAACAGTCAAAAGTAAGCATATTGTGAAATATATATATTTTTAAATAGTTGTTTTCTAATTGAATATATTTGAAAATAATTTATTTCTGTGACGAAAAAGATTGAAAATTTTTTTTATCATCTTTACTCCAGTGTCACATGATCCTTCTGAATAATGTGAATTCTAATATGTTGATTTGCTCAAGAAACATTTCTTCTTATTATTAATGTTGAAAAGAGTTGTGCTGCTTCATATTTTTGTGGAAAATTTCTTTTTTTTTTCTGGATTTTTAGGTGGGGAAAAAAAATCTGGTTTCACTACTAGGGGTCAGGGCCCCCATCAAAAAAGTGTGCCTATATTTTGAAACTCTTGTTTTTAGTACTGTTTTGGATATAAATGGAGATGAATCATCTTTATCTGCAGCACGGAATCGTCGTGCACAAGCTGTGCATGCAATAGAGAGCTGCTTCGATGCTGACTAATGATAAAAAGACATTTGGACATTTTGTTTCTTTCAATGGATTGTATGTATCTGCCTCATCTAGCTCTCTTTTTGTTTTCTGTGTTATAAAATATCCAGTTTCTACTTTGGTGTTGGAAACCTCTGCAAATGATCCAGTGTGTGAGTGAAATGTCTGAATGAATCAAACTGAATCGAACAATTTCAGACCTTTCGCAAACCAGTTTGCCTGATTAGATCGAAAGAGTGATTCATTTGTGAATCTGTCATCGCCAGTTCTGAATCTAAACACAAATGACTTGATTACTGGAATATCATCAGTGAAAATGACTCTTGGGTCAATATACGTCAATCCCATTTACACATAAGGATTTATCAGTGATATTTCCTGGGGCTCATGCCCCATTAAAAAAGGTCTAGCGACACCCGACACCCGACCTCAGACTTTTGAATGGTAGTGTATATCTATACATTTACATTTATTCACATAACAGCTTACAAATGTCAGAACACATACAGTAAGCAAAGTATCATTAAGGTGCTAATAGATCCACCATAAATTGAATATATTAGTGATTTTTGATAACTGATGCTGATGTCATCAATAACGTGCCATTGAAAACCCATATTAGCCAAGCACAAGCACTAATGTAGAGGTTGGAAGCAAGCTAATGTCCAGCAGGGTAAGTGATGTCATCTCAAAGCACAGGTGGGATGTGGCTAGTGCCAGACTGCAGACTGACTTTGGCTTTAGACCTGAGAAATACACTGACCATGTCCAACTCTAACTCTGTTCACCACTTCAGCTCCACATAACTGACTTACTGTATGTAAAATATGCTATAAAATGTTAAAAAAAACACTAGTGTAGAAACAATTTTCACTCAGAAATTGCTAGTAAATCTCATAAATAATGACAAAGAATCAGCAAGTAATACATTAAATTAAATGTGAAGTATAAAGACTGAAATAGTAGTTTCTTGCAAACCGTGCTTCAAAATTGTTTTATTTTATTTACAACTTCGAAAAATAATTTCTTTTCAGTTTGTAATCATTGTGCTATAGTCATTTTTATACTGTTCCATGCACAATTATTTTAGTGTAGCAATTGAAATTAACATTGCTCAAATTGTACCACATTTAAAGGCAGGGTAGATGATTTGGTTCAAAAACTTTTTTTCTTATGCTGGTTGAAAGTCTCTTCACATCCCGATAGCAATCTGTAAGTGGTCTAAATGTATTTATATGTATTTATATCGTCTGTGGAAGGCGTAGGACCATAAAATGTTTGTCCAGTCATATTGGTCCGAGGATTACACTATTGCAGACCGAGCGAGAATTAAAGGCTTTACTATTGTAATATTATGTGCTTTGAACTGTAATGTTTTCTCATCGGTGAATGAGACATGAGCTAATCTGACAGCGCTGCATTCAAACATCCACCAACCCCATCTCTCATCGTGTCGCTGGTTAGCGCATTCTAGGGATGGGCGAATCGATCCGAAGTATCGATATATCGATACTGATGCGAGTATCGAAAGTATCGATACTCAAACAATAAATATCGATACTAAGGTGTGTTTTATTTACCAGTGATTTTGTTTATTTAACAAAAAATAATGCATTGAATTGGACGAATAACCTGTTAGTAAATAATTGTGTAGGATAGAACTATATTCCTGCTCATCTGAACACACGCAAATGTTGCAAGACAGAACCAATCCATCAGAGAGCGTTCACTCACTTCTGACAGTGCATTCAAACAGGGCTGCGTTTCCCAAAAGTATCATAAGAAAGCATTAAAGCTTTTGGGAACAGCAGCCCTGAACAATGCTTATCAGAGGACAGAAAAGAGAGTTATTTCACAATAAACAAACTGAAATTAGCCTACATAGTTTGTGCAATTACATTTATTGAAATTGAACGTTGAAAGATAATATTGATCATGTTCTATTCTGTAATGTTAATATAAATCATACACTGTCAAAAAAAGGTTGCATTTTATGCATGCAGCAGCCTGTCACTGGCAGTCCCTTATGAAAATGAACCATGGTTTTACTAAAGTGACCGTAGTTCAACTGTAGTATTTGTAGATTCGAATCATGTGTAAACGAAAAACATATTTGAACCATTTGTAAACAAAAATATAACCTAATAAGTTACAATTAAGGCGTATCGAATGTTAAAATGCGTTTTAAACAAAGTTAAGTGGTTATCATTACCCATTTTACTCTTAGTAATTTAATACATTTCATAATTTAAAAGTTTAGTTCAGAAGTATCGTTTCGGTATCGATATCGACGATACTGCCTTGAAAAATATCGGTATCGTATCGAAAACAAAATAAGTGGTATCGAAAATGTTTATAGGAGTATAAAACTCTATAGGCAGAGGTTGACCCAACTACCCGTCTTTTTAGGCAAGTGCCAGATAATAGACTTGTCATGAAATGTTTTTAATACGACGGAAAATTATTTAACGTGATCACAGTTTAATAAAAACATTGTACGTTAGGCCTATTAATTGTAATTATTTCATTTCCATGGTTATTCAAACAACGAATAAATTATGTAGAGAAAGCAAGCAAAAAACACAGTATCAACGGAGCTTTTTGAAACTCCGAATCAGTTAAACCATTGCGTCGCAAAATGATTCACTGTTTCGAAGCGCACCAATCGGATCGCGTATCGCGATTCATTTGATTCAGATCGGGACGTCGGAGCGCGGGATGTTTTTATTCCCACCGGGGATAAAAATAATTCAGCAGAGGCAGGGATTATATATATCGTACTAATATATTTTGTTACAAATACCAAATATTTTATGCTCTCAGTCAGCTGCAAGTAGATTAGTTTGATAGTTTTTAGATCATTTCAATCAGAATCTCCATCACTTTTACATTTTACACGCATTCAAGTTAGTTTGCATTGTAAACGCACAAACTATTTAAAAGGCATTTGCACAGAAGAACAAAGCACATTATTTTGTTTGCAGTTCAATCCAATTACATTCATACTGTACATTTTAAGTGGCTTTTAGAGGCCGCTGTGGTGTGCTACGGATTGCTACAACCGTTGTACTGCCATGGTACTTTATGGTACTTTTGTTAGCTGAGTTACATTCCTGTAACAGTTTCTCTCTTTGTACTGTTTATGAGCGCTTAAGCTAGTATTAACACACAATTCCACAGTTTCACTGAATGTTCCTCTGGCTAAATTAAGCTGTTCTGTGTGTCCGGCAGTGAGCTCATTAGCGCACCAGATGGAGGCCAGATCTCTCTGGATTGGTTTGACAATGATGACAGCGCGTCCCACCCGGACCAGGCCACGTGCCCCACTGTGCTGCTGCTCCCGGGACTGACGGGCACAAGCCGCGAATCCTACATTCTGCATATGGTACAGCAAAGCCGGGATCTGGGCTACAGGTGAGCAGCCTGGTTCACAGCCTTTAATTTAGGAAAGGGTCATGACGAATCACAATGTACTTGTTCTCTTGACAAAGAATGCTTGTTATACTATGGAAACATTTAGAACTCAAAAATCCATATTTACACATCCCAATCAAGCGATTTCCAGTTCAGTCACAGTGAAAAATAATAGCACATCAAGGGTAGCCAGGTCTGCGAACAAAACTAGCCCAAAACTATGATAGCTGACCCAAAAATTCTATTATAATCTACTCACCCTAAAGTGGTTTCAGATCTGTACGAGTTTCTTTCTTCTGCTGCTGTCAAACAAAGCCTGCCTGACCGAAGACCTTAGGGTTGAAACATTGTGGTTTTAATAAACTTATTTTTGAGAGCAGTAGTGGAAGTGTGCTGATTTTTGTTTATTGACAGTGATGTGATCGAGCACCTGCCTAAAGTTTTTGGATGTGTGCATATTATACCTTCTTAATTTCTTTCTTCTGTTGAACACAAAAGTAGATGTTTCGAAGAATGTTGGCAACCAAACAGTTGCTGGTAGCCATTGACTTCCATGGTATTTTTTCCCCATACTACACTCTAAAAAAAGTTGGGTTGAAGCAACCTTTGACCCAAAGTTGGGTTGAAGCAACCCAGCATTTTTAGAGTGTATGGAAGTCAGTGGCTACCAGCAGTTGTTTGGTTGCCAAAATGTTTCTTTTGTGCTCAACAGAAGAAAAAGTCAAACAGGTTTGGATCAACTTGAGGGTGAGCATATCATGGCATATCAAAAAAAATAAATAAATCCATGGGAAAACTGCCAACTTGGCAACCCTGAGCACATCTTTTCTCAACAAGTCAGACTGCAAGTTATCATTCATGACAAACAGTGTGGAACAAGTTATGTGCTTAATTTTAAATCCGACCTATTTCTAAATTTTAAATTTGGCTGTTTTTTTTTTTTAATCAAATGTTCTAATTGTCAAAAACGGTATAATTTGGGGAAAAAACTAAAAACAAAACCTGAATTTAGCTGTCAAATTCAACTTACTGGCACAATGAAAATACTACTTTTATGATACTATGTGTGATATTTGTATGGTGCTCTTGCATCCTTTTTATGACTTGCACATCATTTTTGTGAATTTTCAATTCTTAAAAGCACATTAATATAGATAAATTGATGTGCGGTTACAGGTTTGCTTATATCGGATATTTTACAACCATCACAGTTTCTCTGTTTTTTAATGCACAACTGTGTTCTCCTTCACCTTCAGCTTGAATTCTAACTGCACCTGTAGTGCACTTCAAAAGCAACAATTTCCATTAGCTGTGCATATTTTGTACCGCGAGATTCAGAAAGGCTTGAACGGATGCTTTTGTAAGCTTTATGCCACACCTGCGCCAGAACATGAGTAGCTGTGGTATAGATCAATGCGTGCTTACAATACTCCTGTAACATCTTTGTAAGACTCCACTTCTGAAGCTGCCACTCCATGTAGACAGAGAGAGAGAGAAAGAGAGAGAGAGAGAGAGTGAGTCAACAAACAGCTGAGCTCTGTATTAAAGCCTTCAGGGATGCAGAGATGGGCATTTTCTCCTTTTGGGCATCTCTCAGGAGCTCATTCTTGTAAACCTCGAGAGGCGTGAGGCCGTGGGGGCTACAACAGCTCACTCAGCATCTTTCTTTGGCTTGTTCTCTGCTTAATGAATTGCAGCTTTGACCAGCTTTGCAGCTTAGCTAAGAGCAACTTTCCGTGCCGCAGCAGAAATCGGCCCACCAGCCTCTAAAAGTACACTAACGCATAAGCAGTGACGTGTGCTATAGATGTAAACTTTGTTTTGCAGCTGAGCATTTCAACCTCTTGAAGTTTCAAGGAGCCGTTTGTGTACTGACTGATGGATGTCGGGATTTCCGCTGTTTAGATGTTGAAATTGGTCTTTTTAGTTTAAAAAAGCTTACAGTATACTTTGTAAATTATGTTGTGGCATCTTAAGTTAAATGAAGTGATAATGTGCAGTCAAAATCAATGGAGATGAAATGCAGCACTTATTACACAACAAATTACCAATAAATTAATAAATTAATTAATCTTTAGTTATTTGAGAAGAAAGAGACAGTGATATGAGAGATGTAAAACTAGTGTAACACAGAGACAGTGGTCTGTAGCAGTCATTGCACAAAAATATTTGACCCCTGAATGCCATGATTGACCAATCAAAATCAAGTATTCCACTGCGTAATCTGCATAATAATATGTCCTGGGATGCCTTTAGAAAGGTAAGAGGGTTGACTGTTTTTGCCATTTATTACAATCCATGTGTACAAGGTCTAAAAAAACATTTTACTTACTCAAAAGAAAAGAAAAGAAATAAAATGAAATATATATTTTAAAAACTAAAACTTTTTTTTTCAGCTAATTGCCAAAGCAAATTTTATGTTATTTTTAGTTAAATTAGAAGTACTAAAATAACAAAAGCTAAACATAAAACTAATTAAAAAATAATAAATACTGTATAGACATTAAAAAACTATTACAATTACAAAAACACACATCAGAATTACTAGAATACAGAGCCCATTTCATGACATGCAAGAAAAAATAAATAAATCGTGCCCACAATTTACTAATTCGTTCCCTCGATGTACTAAAACGTGCACACGATTACTATTTCGTTCCCCCGATTTGCTAAATCGTGCGCACAATTTACTAATGAATTCTCTCGATTTATAAATCGTGTGCACGATTTAGCAAATCGAGGGAACGAATTAGTAAATCGTGCGCACAATTTATAAATCGAGAGAATGAATTAGTAAATCATGCGCACAATTTATAAATCGAGGGAACGAATTCGTAAATCGTGCGCACAATTTATAATTCGAGGGAACAAATTAGTAAATCGTGCGCACAATTTATAAATCGAGAGAACGAATTAGTAAATC